TTGTGAAATTCTCATTAATTGTTTTGTGATTTTTAAGAATGGGTCCCAACTAATTCTATTCCTGGACCACACCTTCAGTAGTAGTCTAGGAAAGGACTGGTGGTGGAGGGGGGGGGGGAATGGCCTTCTCAGACCAGCTCGTTCTCTTGCTATGCCACTCCGTCAAAAATCCGTCCTCCTAACCTAACCAGAAACGTGCGACCCTAAGCAACTTACCTAACCTACCTACCAAGTCCGAGACATAGAAAAGCGTAGATATTTGCAAGCTGTTACTTTCCATAGGCTAGATATGTAACGTTAGTTACCATAACGTCAGAAAGGTGACCTGTTATTTAAGAGACCGGGGTCGTTGAGAGGGTCCGGGGAGAGTGGTGTTGGTCGTGTGGCCAGTCAGACCGCCCGAGATTGTAGACACAGCTCAAGGGAGTAGTGGAGACACACTCCATGCACCGATTGTGGAGTGATGGAGGTGGACTCCATGCACCAATTGTAGAGTGGTAATTTGTAGAGTGGTGGAGGTCTGACTCCATACACAGATTATCAAGCAATTACAACAGAAACCAAACAGCTACCCCGTTTCGTACGACAATTTACTAAAAGTTGCAAGGCGGGACCCATGAGCCAAACACCCGCAAACAAAGATCACTAAGTGCGCATATATATGTACACAGTAGCCTAGTAAAGCAATCAGATAACTCAGTTTCATGAAAATATTGTAGTCATTGCATAACTAGAGGCCAAAACCTCACTCTAATGGCTTGCCGCGTTCCCCTGACACTTACTCCCTCTCCCTCTCCCAGGTGGTGGTGGTTGTGCCTCTCACCTGGCCGGTGGGTCGGCGGTGGCTGTGAAGGCCTTGCCCGGCCCGCCACATATGGCATACATCCGCCACATTTGGGGAGGGGCGTCCCTCATCTGGGTTGGCGCTCCCTGACATATGTATTTAAAGTCAGTTTTTTTGGCCGAGAGGTGTACCCTTTATCAGCTGTTCACTGACAGCCGACCTGACTGGCTTGTGTGCTGGAGTATTGTGGAGGCTTCTCCCTGTGTGTTGTTGCTGCGGCCGTTGTAACTTGCACACGCCTCGCGGCTACCCTGGAAGCCTCTCCTTGTGCTGTTGGACATTGCTGGACGGATATTAATCACTGTGTTATTGAGCTTATCTTAGATGTCCTGAGATCCTTGAGTTCAGTTCAGGGTGTGAGGCTTAATGGGCAACCCTTCTTCGTAATAGAACGTCGCATTTTGACGTATACTTTACCAACAAAACAAAATTGTCGTTCTGGAAAAGCGGCTCGCGAAATCGACATATTGTCCCGTTTTCTGTTTTGGGTTCTCTGGGAGGCTTGGAAACTTTAGTACTAAACAGTTTCTTGGCGTTGGGAAACCTTGAGAGGACAGGGTGGGGAGTATGTAGCACTTGGAGGACAGATGAGATGATTGGAGGTGGGATATAAGGACGGAGCGAGGGAGTGACACCTAACCATTTAGACTAGCAGGGAGCGAACGCCGGCCCTACAAGAAGCGAAGGGACCCGAGGGAAGCCCGGTATAGTTAGTAGTGGTCTGAGGACTAATGAATTGTGTGGTTGTTATGGCGCAGTTACGGTCCCCGGCTCATAGTTTAAACACGTGCGTGTGTCCACCTGCGGTGTTTGTCGGCGCCAGTGTCGCCTCTTGGATCCAACTTTTTTGTTTTGTTTACACGTAATGTAGTGATCCCGTCCGTCTTGCTGCGAGTGTTGAGTGTACCCGCGCAATACCACTTACCTTCGCTTCTATCTACTTATAACTCTTCACTCCTCAGTTGAGGTGTGTTCCTACCTGCAGGTGATGACCTCTCTGAACGCTCCTGTGTGTGTGTGTGTGTGTGTGTGTGTGTGTGTGTGTGTGTGTGTGTGTGTGTGTGTGTGTGTGTGTGTGTGTGTGTGTGTGTGTGTGACTTTGAATGATTATTTAGCACTAGATAACTGAATTTGAATAAAGAGTGTGAAGGGGTCATGGTGGTGATGGTGTATCTCTTGCCTGCGTGGGCTGCAGGCTCCGGCGTCCCTCCGCCCGCTCCTCGGGTGGGTTGACCTGGGCATCTTGCCCCTCCCTGCCTGGTACCTGCAGGTGGGGGGGGGGGTTGGGGGTGGGGCTGGTGGGCGGTGGATGCAGTTAGGGAGAGGCGGGGTGGTGGCAGTGGGCGGGGGTTTGCAGTCGTAGACAAGGCTGCCCAATGGTTAAACCAGTTGATCTGGCTAGTGCATGAGAAGACTCGGTAGAGTGGTATATATAATATATATATATATATATATATATATATATATATATATATATATATATATATATATATATATATATATATATATAAAAGTTTGTGAGGGTACCACCTCTGGTGCCAATGTGGGGACCCATAGCCTCGGAGAAGAAAATAAAAAGTATTCAGAGGAGACCTTGTGGTTTCTCACTGAACACTAATATTATCTTCTCCTACCACCCCCGTTCTTTTATATGTACACATATATATTTACTTTATTTGAACTTTATATATATATATATATATAATATATAAAATATATATAAAATATAATGTGTGTGTGTTTTATTAAGCTGGGTATATAGTCACTGTTGAAGGGACCCTTGGTCTAGGCTTGCAGGAAAGGTTTTCACGTGTTTGGAGAGCAGAGTTTGAATCACGGAAAATGATGCTTCTTCCTGTGTGTGTTACAGTGGTGGCAGCTAGTTGTAGTGCGGCTAGTTATGTTAGGGTTCACCCACTTGTTTAACCTGACCCTGAGCGTCTGTGTGTGCATGAATTACTTCTATATAACCTACAGGTTGCTACAGTGTATCCTGCTGATGATTATATCTTATGGGATCTTCAAGCGAGGCGAAAGCCATACCTTCCGTCAGTACAATTTATTTATATGTCAATGAGTTAGGTCTAGATGATAGCTATGACCTATTTCACCACAGGCAATTTTACAGTTGAAGCTACGATTGATATTGGTGTAGTTGAAGAGAGGAGTGGAGAGTAGTGGTGGTGGTGTGAGTCATGTGCAGACAAACAGGATCTCATCAGCGCGGGGAAGCTGCGTGAGGCGGCCCGGTCCTCGCTGTTGGGAAGACAAGGGCAGCAAGCATCACTCTGCCTCCTCTCACCATTCACACACACACACTCCAACACTCCTCTCCTCAACCAAATTACTTTCGGAACGCTTAGTTGTGTGGCGTGGTGGGTCGAGGAGGGGAGGGGGAGGACAGCTAGTACTCATCTAGTTGTGCTTGTGGGGGTTGAGCTCTGGCTCTTTGGTCCCGCTTCACAACCGTCAATCAACAGGTGTACAGATTCCTGAGCCTATTGGGCTCTATCATATCTACATTTGGAACTGTGTATGGAGTTGGCCTCCACCACATCACTGCCTAATGCATTCCATTTACTAACTACTCTGACACTGATAAAGTTGTTTCTAATGTCTCTGTGACTCATTTGGCGACGGTGCCAGCTAGTGACGGGGGCCAGCTAGTGACGGGGCCAGCTAGTGACGGGGCCAGCTAGTGACGGGGCCAGCTAGTGACGGGGCCAGCTAGTGACGGGGCCAGCTAGTGACGGGGGCCAGCTAGTGACGGGCCAGCTAGTGACGGGCCAGCTAGTGACGGGCCAGCTAGTGACGGGGCCAGCTAGTGACGGGGGCCAGCTAGTGACGGGGGCCAGCTAGTGACGGGGCCAGCTAGTGACGGGGCCAGCTAGTGACGGGCCAGCTAGTGACGGGGCCAGCTAGTGACGGGGCCAGCTAGTGACGGGGGCCAGCTAGTGACGGGGGCCAGCTAGTGACGGGGCCAGCTAGTGACGGGGCCAGCTAGTGACGGGGGCCAGCTAGTGACGGGGCCAGCTAGTGACGGGGGCCAGCTAGTGACGGGGCCAGCTAGTGACGGGGCCAGCTAGTGACGGGGCCAGCTAGTGACGGGGGCCAGCTAGTGACGGGGGCCAGCTAGTGACGGGGCCAGCTAGTGACGGGGGCCAGCTAGTGACGGGGGCCAGCTAGTGACGGGGCCAGCTAGTAACGGACCAGCTAGTGACGGGGCCAGCTAGTGACGGGGCCAGCTAGTGACGGGGCCAGCTAGTGACGGGCCAGCTAGTGACGGGGGCCAGCTAGTGACGGGGGCCAGCTAGTGACGGGGCCAGCTAGTGACGGGGGCCAGCTAGTGACGGGCCAGCTAGTGACGGGGCCAGCTAGTGACGGGCCAGCTAGTGACGGGGCCAGCTAGTGACGGGGCCAGCTAGTGACGGGGGCCAGCTAGTGACGGGGCCAGCTAGTGACGGGCCAGCTAGTGACGGGTGCCAGCTAGTGACGGGGGCCAGCTAGTGACGGGGGCCAGCTAGTGACGGGGGCCAGCTAGTGACGGGGGCCAGCTAGTGACGGGGCCAGCTAGTGACGGGCCAGCTAGTGACGGGGGCCAGCTAGTGACGGGCCAGCTAGTGACGGGGCCAGCTAGTGACGGGGGCCAGCTAGTGACGGGCCAGCTAGTGACGGGGGCCAGCTAGTGACGGGGGCCAGCTAGTGACGGGTGCCAGCTAGTGACGGGGGCCAGCTAGTGACGGGGCCAGCTAGTGACGGGGGCCAGCTAGTGACGGGGGCCAGCTAGTGGCGGGCCAGCTAGTGACGGGGGCCAGCTAGTGACGGGGGCCAGCTAGTGACGGGGGCCAGCTAGTGACGGGGCCAGCTAGTGGCGGGGGCCAGCTAGTGGCGGGGGCCAGCTAGTGACGGGGCCAGCTAGTGGCGGGCCAGCTAGTGACGGGGCCCGGTAGTGACGGGGGCCAGCTAGTGACGGGGCCCGGTAGTGACGGGGGCCAGCTAGTGACGGGCCAGCTAGTGACAGGGCCAGCTAGTGACGGGGCCAGCTAGTGACGGGGGCCAGCTAGTGACGGGGGCCAGCTAGTGACGGGGCCAGCTAGTGACGGGGCCAGCTAGTGCTTGAAGACAATCTCAGAACTTCAGTAATGCCCCCGCACAGTACTGCAGCTCTAGCAGCACCACCACAACCCCCACCAACACTAGCAACTCTCACATCTACAACACTGGCCGCCCCACCAACACTAGCAACTCTCACATCTACAACACTGGCCGCCCCACCAACACTAGCAACTCTCACATCTACAACACTGGCCGCCCCACCAACACTAGCAACTCTAACATCTACAACACTGGCCGCACCACCAACACTACCAACTCTAACATCTACAACACTGGCCGCCCCACCAACACTAGCAACTCTAACATCTACAACACTGGCCGCACCACCAACACTACCAACTCTAACATCTACAACACTGGCCGCCCCACCAACTCTAACATCTACAACACTGGCCGCCCCACCAACACTAGCAACTCTCACATCTACAACACTGGCCGCCCCACCAACACTAGCAACTCTCACATCTACAACACTGGCACCACCACCAACACTAGCAACTCTCACATCTACAACACTGGCCGCACCACCAACACTACCAACTCTCACATCTACAACACTGGCACCACCACCAACACTAGCAACTCTCACATCTACAACACTGGCCGCACCACCAACACTACCAACTCTCACATCTACAACACTGGCACCACCACCAACACTACCAACTCTCACATCTACAACACTGGCACCACCACCAACACTAGCAACTCTCACATCTACAACACTGGCCGCACCACCAACACTACCAACTCTCACATCTACAACACTGGCCGCACCACCAACACTACCAACTCTCACATCTACAACACTGGCCGCACCACCAACACTAGCAACTCTCACATCTACAACACTGGCCGCACCACCAACACTAGCAACTCTCACATCTACAACACTGGCCGCACCACCAACACTAGCAACTCTCACATCTACAACACTGGCCGCACCACCAACACTAGCAGCAACACAATCAGCAACAACATTAATGCTAATTGCAGACAAGCGTCTTGAGAGGCCAGGTTGCTCCTTGAGCAACAGTGAGCTCCTCGGAGCACACTGTAGCTTGGACCCCCTAATGGTCTAAGTCTTGTCTCTTAACAGATATATTTCTTCACGCCATTACCTCGCCCCCTCCAAGTGGATGCCTTCCTCTATTAAACTGGACTCTTGTGTGGACTTGAGTGGTAATTGGTTATCTCGAAGGCGTCTTATTGTGTGACGGTGACGCACAGTGGAAACAGCAGCGTCACATGTAGTGTGGTGACGTACAGCGTCACCACACTACATGTGACGCTGCTGTTTACGTCCAACGCATCTTGGACGGCTCCAAGATGCTTTGGCCTTTTGTGTCGGAGCATCACGCGCCGCAGAGCGTGTTGGAGCAGTCCAGGACCCTCTTGGCCGTGTCCCCACGACCCGGCTCCCGTCTGGACGACCCGGCTCCCGTCCCCATGACCCGGCTCCCGTCTGGACGACCCGGCTCCTGTTTTGAACGACTCTGATTATTTGAGAGATAAGACAAGTTGCTTAAGATGGATGCACTATACGCTAGGGATGTGTTGTGAGTGTTGGAGTGCGGGAGTCATACAGGTTCATGAGTGTCGTGAACCTGTAAGCCCGGAGCCCCATCCAGGTCAAGGCGGGATATTGTGGGGTTAACCATAGATGGCTGTAGAGAGCCTCGGGCACATTGTTCTTGATGGGTGTCTAGGCGCACCCGTGGCACAGTATAGAGACCCTGCTTGCCCGCTGCTCGCACGCGCACGCTTGGATATGCTTACACACACATACGCTGGAATGCATTCACTCGCACACAAGTTATGTTTACATGCACGCACAAGCTCGCACGCAGATTCACACACACACACACACACACACCTTATTTTAGATATTAGAAAGAACTTTTTTAGTGTCAGAGTGGTTGACAAATGGAATGCATTATGAAGTGATGTGGTGGAGGCTGACTCCATACACAGTTTCAAGTGTAGATATGATAGAGCCCAATAGGCTCAGGAATCTGTACACCTGTTGATTGACGGTTGAGAGGCGGGACCAAAGAGCCAGAGCTCAACCCCTGCAAACACAGCTAGGTGAGTACACCTGTGGGCCTCGCGGTTGGGTGGATGGTGTTCGGAGGTCGTAGTTCTAAGTGCCCGGGTTCGATTCCCGGTCAAGGCAGAAACAGATGGGCAGTTTCTTTCACCCTGATGCTCCTGTTCACCTAGCAGTAAATAGGTACCTGGTAGGTAGACAGCTGCTGCGAGCTGCTTCCCGAGATTGTGTGTGTGTGTGTTAGAGATAAATATATGTAGTAGATATAATACAGTGAAAATATATTGCTTAGAAAGGCGGGGTCCAAGAGCTAAATAACGTTATTTTGCAGATTCAAATAGTAAATATTAATTGGCTAAAATTTGTAGCAGCAGATCAGCCTGAAATGTTGACATTTCTTATTACAGTCTTGGTGCCTTCTTTTGATAATTACTTACATATTTATTGAATGTTTGTGAGAGTTATTTCTAAATTCATGCATTTGCTGGCATGGCGTCACATAGTGATGCGGTATGTGAATAATTTTGCCGCCACAGTTTACAGTTAGTGAGGAGCACACCAGCGGGTACTGCACGCTCTCTGAGGGACCCGTAACTCGCCCTAAGTCCAGGAACACATCCAGGCCTCTCCTGAGGTGACTGGAGGCTCCATAGGTACGTGGTTGTTCCTTCATGGTAGTCTGATGATACATGGAGGCTACATGGTGCTACATGGAGGCTACATGGTACCACCATGGTGCTACATGGAGGCTACATGGTGCCACCATGGTGCTACATAGAGGCTATATGGGGGCCACCATGGAGTGCAAGGTGGGCCGGGAGGATGAGAGAGGGAGGAGATGGAGATAGAGGAAGAGAAATGAGAGAAAAGGAGGGGAGGAGGAGTGAAGAGCAATAGGAAGGGAAGCACTAGCTCAAGGAGGGTGAGGGGGGGTGGGGGTGGGAGGGGAGTGTAAGAAATGAAGGTAGGGAGTGGAGAAAGAATGAGGGAGGGACAGGGAGTGAAATGTGTGACACAGGTGCCAACAATCTCCCCCCCCCCACCCCTCCACAACACCCCCCCCCCCCTCCCACAGGCACTGTCGGACCCAGGCCACAACAAGGCTGACTCACCCCTGCCTCCCTCCCCTGTAAACTGACGGAAATATACCGAGCAGGAAGAGAGAGAGGGGTGTGTGTGTTTACTATTTGTGTCTGCAGGATCGAGCTGTTTAGTTCTTGAATCCCGCCTTTCTAACCAATCTATTTGTCCTCTATAATGTCTGCTGCATATATTTATCTCTTTAACACGCGCACAGACGTGTCCCCAGGAAGCAGTCAGTCCGTAGCAGCTGTCTTAACTGCCAGGTACATATTTACTCCTAGGTGAATTGGAGCATTAGGGTAAAAGACACACTGCCCATTTGTGTTCGCCTCAGCCGGGAATCGAAGGCTACCACCCCGAAATGCTGTCCACTCAGCCACCAGGCCCCACTCCGGGGCCGTCCACCCCTGCCACTCAGCCGCGAGGTGTGTGTGTGTGTGTGTGTGTGTGTGTGTGTGTGTGTGTGTGTGTGTGTGTGTGTGTGTGTGTGTCTGGCTTATATACCTTATGCAATAATTTACAAATGGTAAGGAAGACGAATTGTATTGTCCTGACACCCTAAAGGAATTACTGGCAAAGTAAGAAGATGTATTTTTTTATTTTTTTAAGAACAGAACCCAGTATGTAATAATCAAGAAAGTAAAATCCAAATAATTCACTGGGATCAGCACGTCCCCCCCCCCCCAGGGCTCTGTGCTTACTCCAGTACTTTCTCCATCCACTTGGACTGGACGGTAGAGCGACGGTCTCGCTTCCTGCAGGTCGGCGTTCAATCCCCGACCGTCCAAGTGGTTGGGCACCATTCCTTCCCTCCGTCCCATCCCAATTCCTTATCCTGACCCCTTCCCAGTGCTATATAGTCGTGATGGCTTGGCGCTTTTCCCCCCTGATAGTTCCCTTCCAGTACTTGATCTCATCCCTATATCAGACGAGGACAAGGACTCAAACTATAGTACCGTATTATTTTTTTTAGGCTGAGACTAGTATTATTATGAGAATAGACAACACAGAGGACACAACAAACTAATAAGCTGATGTAAATCAGGTCTTTCAATGGGCCACAGAAAATAATATAATCTTTTAATGAAATTAGGTTACAGCTATAGGCGTAATGGCTTGGCGCTTTCCCTTGACAGTTCCCTTCCCTACCTACGTTATTGAAAAAAAAAATGAGACCGCATATAAAACGCAGTCAAATGACAATCTAGAATGAAGAAACATTATTTAAGTTTTGGGAGTAATCATGTTTGAAGACCTTCATTTTAAGTAGTCCCAACTTCAAGAACAATGACAGACTGACTAACAAGAACCTTTCAAACAAGAGATGTATATGAATAATGATGTTTTCAAGATAGTGCTTTCTAGGGAGGAATATTGTTGCGCACTAACATCCCCATGCAAAGCTGAAGAAATTGCTAACCTCGAGAACGTGCAAAAAGTATTTTACTGGTAGAATCCACCCAGTAGAACATCTAAATTATTGGCACTGCTTTAAATGTTTAAATTTGTGTACACTAGAGTGCAGGCGTGTGAGATATATAATAATTTAAACTTTAAAAAATATTCGAGGGATTACTTCCAAATCTACATACGGAAATAACATCACATGAAACCAGGAGGCATGGCAGGATGTGCAAAATAGCCCCATTGAAGAGCAGAGGTGCAATAGGTACGGCTGAGAGAGAACTATCAACGCCAAGGGGCACAAAACTGTTCAACACTCCCGTTAAACCTAATGGGCCGACCTCACACGGCGTTCAAGAGAACTTGATAAACACCTCCAAATGATACCTGATCAATCAGGAAATACAGATTCATACGTCGGGCTGCGAGCAGTCACTACCAACACTCTGGTTCAACAGCCCACCAACCAGATAGCCTGATCTGAGACCGGGCCGCGGGAACGTTGATCCTGGGAAACAACAGCAAGTGTGGTGAAGCTGGCCTGGTGAGAGAGCAGACGTGGTGGGGGGCGGGTGTCCCCGGCACTATTTCCAGGGAGCGTCAAGGTATGCCACAAACATGTTGACGGTTCTAGCCAAGAACTCTTCACCAATAGCCAACGTGTTCAAAATTCTTACACTATCTGGTAGTGAAGTGGGGAGAGAGAGAGAGGAGAGGACACAGGCAAGGTTGGGTAGACCTTATACCTTGCAAAAGTGTATGTCATATACTTTTTAAACAAGACGATATACTTTACAAACCCCCTCATTCTCTCCTGTTGGACTACTGATATATTGCAAAACTTTGGAAGTTGGTCAAGCTGCATATTTCTCCCCTGAATTCATGTTATAAATGTTGGTGTGTGTGTATCTTGAGGAGTTTTCAGGTGTCGAGATTTAGCTCCTGGGCCTCTTACTTCCAGCGGTGTGGTCTTAGGTAATGACACGATCCTCTTGGTATTTAATCATAACTATTTCTGAAACAATGTATCGATACTCTCCTCCTCGCTGAGTAAGCAGTTGGTCTTTGTATCTTGTATGCCTCGATCATGCCCAGTGACCGATTGCTATACAATAAAGAAACACTTAGTGATAACGCAGATGTGCTACAGTGGTGACAACTGGCCGAGGCACTGAGTGGTCTACATTTCAAGGGATTTCCTGCTCTTGGGAGTTCAACAACCGAGGAAAGCCTTCGTGGACATAGTTCACATTTAAGCCTTAGCATAAGGCTTACAGGTGAACTAAATATCCTTCATATACTTAAATATCCTTTAAGTATATGGAGGATATTTAAAGCGTTTCACTTAAGTGTTATAAATGTCATAATATCAAGGTTGCCTTAAGATTATTGAAGTTTTAGACGAAATTAAGTATATTGAGGAAGATTTTGCACCACAAGGAACATGTTCAATGCAATTTATCGAAAGTTGA